TTCGTTTCCTTGTGGGGAACGAGCGATGCGCTTTCCATAACGCCTGCTCTTTGGTGGGTGCCCAGGCAGCGTCGACAGCGACAACAGTGAAATAAACCTAAACTCCTAAACTAAGTACTAAAACCCTAAAGCCCTAAACCCTGAACCCTAAACCCTAAACCCTGAACCCGAAGCCCTAAACCCGAAACCCTAAACCCTAAACCCTAAACCCTAAACCCTAAACCCTAAACCCTAAACCCTAAACCCTAAACCCTGAACCCTAAACCCTAAACCCTAAACCCTAAGTTAGGGTTCCGGGCTGACCGGCCCGGTTTTGGTCCAGGGCAGCCCTTAGAGCTGAGACACCCCTGCCAGGCGGGGGCATCTTCAACTCCAAACCCCCACAACCCGAAGTCCTAGACCCTAAGCCCTAAACCCTAAACCCTAAACCCCAAACCCTAAACCCTAAACCCCAAACCCCGAACCCTAAACCCTAAACCTACACCCCAAACCTTGACCTGGTCAGCACAGCCAGCAGATTGGGCGGTGGGGTTTGGGGTTTGGGGTTTGGGGTTTGTACAAGGTTTAGATCCCTAAACCCAAACCCTAAACCCTAAATCCCCTAAACTTGCCTATGTTCCGGCGCAGGCTCCTCCTCATCCCATTCTTCCGGCTGCAGGCGCGCCGCGCGAGGGCTTCTGCGCACTTGCAAGCGGTCTAAGGGCTATAGAGTTTAGGGTTTAGGGTTTAGGGCTTAAGCCCCAACACCCCTTAATCAGGGGATATACGTTAAATCAGACTAGGGATCCCTTTATAAATTAAGGTACACTCCTTAAGTTGCGGGGTATTGGGCTCTTTGGGAAGCCTCGTACAATTATGTTAGGCGTTTCTGGAGCAGCTGACCGAGTTGTTAATCAACCCGAAACCCCGAGATGCGGCGGGGTTAGGGTTTAGGGTTTAGCGTTTAGGGTTTAGGGTTTGGGGTTTGGGGTTTATAGGGTTTATAGGGTTTAGGGTTTAGAACCTCGAACGGGTATATAGGGGTGAGGCGCCGTGTAGCTTCTCCGCGGTTCCGTGATGGGCAGACAAGGTTTGAACCCCAGACCCGAAACTTTAGAGGGTTCATGCGTCTTAGGCCCTGTCTGACGGGAGAATGCTTGGAGGTTCATGGGTCTGGGGTAGGGGGATGGGGGCGTAGGGTGCCGTTTGTGAGGCCCTGATATGTCTTTAAGGCCGCCAGTCTTCAGGGTGTGTGTATGTGGGTAGTTCTCTAAACTAGGGCCCCTTTTTGGGATCCCTTTTTGAAGGGTGCCGCCTTATAATGGTTGCCCAAAAAGGGGACCCTAATTCAGGAGGCTACCCACGTGTCTTACTGGTTCTGTTAACACGGGGTTAGGTTCCGTGCATCCCTCTCTCTGTCTAGCCTTAAAGTGATTTATTATGGGGGAACTAATTCCCTCACTCACTGCTAAGAAAGCGTTGGTTGTGTATGGGCGGAGGGGTTGGGATGCTAAGCCTTCTTCCTAGGTAGGATAAGGGGGACCCTTAAAAAGGGAACCTTCTTAAACAGGACCTTATTCAGAGGGTCTATATCCCCAAGGGTCCCCCTAATCCTATGCCCTAGTTCTAACCTGCACGGAAGTGCGGGGTCTTGGCAGGCCCGCAAAGAGCGCAAGCGGCTGGAGGACAAACTGCAGGCTCTGCGGGTGAGGGGGTGTCCCTAAACCCTGAACCCTAAATCCTAAACCCTAAACCCTAAACCCTGAACCCTAAATTTTATGGGGGTCCAGGGCTCAAAGGATTAGCCCGGTAAGGCAGTCCCGGTTTAGACAGATCTCGCCTCTATACCTGAAAAGCCTAGTGGGTAGAACTGTGCGGTTTAGGGTTTAGGGTTTTTCAGTTTAAGGAACCTCAAAAGTTACTGGACCCCTGTACTGGTATGGTCGATCGAGATGAGTCCTAAAACCGAAAGCTTCCTTCAGTTTCTCTCGGCCCTCAATGGTACCTCTCTTAGAGAGACATGAAGCAGGGTTTATATTTTTGTTTTTGGTGAGTGTATATAAGGTTCCTTTTTAAAATTGGTGAGTGTATATATTGGGTGTCCTTTTGGGGGTACAAGAAATAAAACCCTACTTCATTAATAAAGGCTACCAATGGTAGCCTACCATGATTACTCCCAGAGAAACGAGGGGCGTAGGCCTTGCCATCCCGATGTCCCGAAAGTGACAAGACAGCTCGGTCTCCCCAGTAGCAGCAACCATGGTTAGGGCTTAGGGTTTAGGGTTTTAGGGATTTAGGGTTTAAGGGTTTAAGGGTTTATATAAGGGTTTAGGGTTTAGGGTTCAGGGTTTAGGGTTTAGGGTTTAGGGCTTCATGTAAACTAGCCCGTTGTAAGCCTGGCTTGTCTGAGCCGCACGTGCAGAGTTTGTTTGGCATAACATGACAAAGTTTATACAGATGCACAGATGCAAGTAGAAAGAGAGCGAGAGAGAGCGAGAGAGAGAGAGAGAGAGAGAGAGATGCATACATGATTGCGTTCGCGGTTCGCCGCCGCCCCCCCCCCCCCCCCCCATCGGTGGGGGGGAGCACCAGGCGCACCCAGATCATAAATAAATGCAAAAAATCACATCTAGATAAACAAATAGATAAATCAACAAATACAGAAATGTAGAGATAGAGAGAGCCGCGCGCATCGAAGAAGCCTAAACCCTAAACCCTAAATCTTAAACCCTACACCCTAAACCCTAGACCTCAACAAGAAGCCCTGAAACGGCAAAGGTGGGCCACCGGAAGCCTGGAATTGAAACTTCGAACGATTCGAACCCTTCAACCCTTGGCTTTAGGTTTTTGGGCTCCAGAAAGGGTTTGGGGTTTAGGGTTTAGGGTTTAGGGTTTATGGTTTAGGGTTTAGGGTTTGTGGCAACGTTCTTAGCGCGTGTCGTAGGCCCTATAGATTGGCTTTCACGGGCCCACTCCTAAGCGCGCGTCGCGTGGCGGTAGACCCACCCCAAACCACCCGGCGCACAGCATTGTAGGGTTTCGGCCCCAGAGTCTGGTTGGTGCTTTTATCCGCAGTGGGCCTGTTCCACTGCAGCGGATGTTGGGCTGGCCGCCCCGGCTTGACCTCCAGGTCAGTAAAGGCCGGGTGAGAGCCGGCGCTCAGGGCTGGCCTGCCGCTGGAAAACGGGGCTGCCAAACCTGGCGCAAGCCCTCCCTATAGCTCTAAACCGGTTTTTCGGGACGGGTGCAGGGGCGCCGGCAAAGTCTTTAAGTTCGTCTCGGTGGGACCGGCTGACAACCCTTTTGTGTGACGGACCTGGCAACATCGAGGGCGGCCACGGGGCCAAAATCAGCGGGCCCGCTTGTTCCGCCGAAAAACCCACCGGAAGGTGACGGCCAGGACCAGCCAACCCCGAGACCCTCATACAGATAGTACAGATAGGAGAAGAGCCACGAAAACCGCGACATGCAGCAGGGTTGTGGCCGTGCTCGCAACAGGTGCCATTGCAGTGAGTGCTGGGGTGGTGGGGGGAGGAGGGGGGGGGGAGGAGGGGGAGGGGCCGTTCTGAAAATGGGGGGTTGAGCAGGTCAGGTCGGGGGGGGGGTGGCGCCGGCGTGGGGTGCTTGGGTTTAGGGTTTGAACCTTTGACACTCAAAGGCTCGACCGCCTGGTGCGCACGGCTCTGTGCTCATCTTGCCAAGGCGTTCAGCAGCCACAGCTTTACCTGGGCTGCGCGTGGCGTGTGGTCAGGTCGCTCGCTGATCGCTCGGACGGCTTCGGGCTCTCACGTGGTGGTAGCGAGCCCTCAGCCGGACTTCGGGGTTTAGGGTTTAGGGTTTAGGGCCCAGGGTTTTGAGAGAGCACTTTCCGACGACCTGGTGGTGCCCAGGCCGAGAAAACCCAGGCGGAGGAGGGCGACGCTGGCAGCCCCGATGCTTGAGGAACGGTCTGGGGTTTAAGGTTTAGGGTTCAGGCCTCAGGGTTTTTACAAGGTCTTCTTTCGGGTTTAGACAGTTCAGGCGTTGGAGTTTGGGTACCTTACGAACCCCCCAACCTACCTTTTTCGTGACATCCCCTTATCGGGTTCCTAGGGCAACCAGAAAAGGTCGGCGGGTTTTAACGGTAGAGTTTGGGTTTTGGGATTTCTTTGGGCGGTCGATGTGAGCCCAGATACAAAGAACAACGTTTAGGGTTTAGGGCTAGCCAGGGCCCCTCTGCTTCTTTCCCCCCCCCCGCCATACTTATGCGAACCATACAACACAAGTGCCCCTCCTTGGATTGTCGATTCGAGGTGTTGGAGGGTGAAGGGTTTCGGGCCCAGGGAACCGGAAAACCCGAAAGCAAAAATGAACGGCATTTTGGAGGATCGTTCTATGAGGGGCCAGCGATGGGTTGCTCAAGTTAGTGGAGGCTCAGTTGACAGCTTCGGTTGGGGGATTGGAACTTGTCTTCTTCGTTTAGGGTTCCTGAACCCTAAACCCTAAACCCTAAACCCTAAACCCTAAACCCTAAACCCTAAACCCTAAACCCTAAACCCTAAACCCTAAACCCTAAACCCTAAACCCAAAGCCCGGGGCAAAACAGGCGCGCTTCGAGCTCTTTCCTACTAAGCCCTGAACCTTAACCCCAACTGCGCAACTCTTACATGTAGCATATGGGCTTAGTAGCCCAGTGGTACCCTTTACCCTTTTTTTGGTCCTAGGTTCCCTTATAAAGTAACCAACCCCAAAAAGGGTGCCCTTATCATAACCCCAAAAAGGGTGCCCTTATCATAATATGGTTACTGGGCTTCTAAGTGGGTTGTTTCTGAAGCCCTGGGCTCGGATCTCCTGTCGATCTTACAGCGCAGTGTTAGGAAATCCTGGTGTTGTTTTTGTGCTCTATGACGCGTCGCTGTCGAGTCTTCGCAAGTAGGGGGCCAGCAGGTATGTGTAGTGGTCTTATACCCTAAACCCTAAACCCTAAACCCTAAACCCTGAGCCACCCTAAATCAAGGTTTTGAAACGATTGTTGGCCGCGCATGGTGCTGGAATACCCGATCCATCTTGGACTGGCTTACCTTCTCTTGGGAGGCTACCTCGCCAGCCGCATTTTCTGGGCACTGCACTTGCCAGCTGCCGTCGGAATCATTGCGAGTGGCTTCCTGTTCTCCCATTTCATTCAGTTCGACATCCTCCAGGGCCGCGATCATCTGCAAGCTCTGTCCTTCTTCCTTGTGCTCCTGACAGCAGGCTTTGAGCTACAAATAACTGACCTTCGCCCCGAGACGTTTGTTTTCGCGTTCCTCCCTGTTACACTGGAGTTGATCGGAATCGCGGCCTGCGCGCAGCTCATCCTGCACTTCTCGCTGGTGGAGGGCCTCGTTTTGGGTGCCACGCTAGCCTGCTTGGGAGATGGCCTGGTCATTCCCAAAATGATCGAGATCAAGAGCCGCGAGGAGTTTGAAAACTCCCCGATGCCAAGGTTGGTCTTCACAGCAGCGCCGTTGGAGGCATCCTATGTCCTCACCATCTACGGGGTTCTGGAAGGGCTGGCTACGGCAGAGCATCAGGAAGCGAGTGGGATCTGGTCGATCGTTTTCGCTAATCTCTTGCGCATCGCTGCCACCTTGCTGTGTGGCTCGATGCTTGGCTACGGTGCTGGGGTCTTCATCAGCAAGGGCCGAGGTAATGAGTCCTGGTTTGCTGGCACCTGGCTCCAACCCATATGTGAAACATGGCTACCACACTTGGCCCCCGTGAAGCTCTTTAGGCAGAGCGACGTGGAGGCATACCTGATGATCCTCAGCGTTGCCTTGCTTGGCTTCGGAATTGGCTCGATGAGCGTTGCATCTCTCGCCCCAATTCTTGGACATCTCCTGCCATCAGCTTTTGCTGAGGGCGAGCTGTTTCAGCCAGAGCTTCTCGTTATTGTTACCGGCGCTTCATTTGCATACGCTTGCGAGACATATGCAAGCGAGACGGGTCAAGAGGCTGATGTGCTAAACAGCGTGCTGACCATCGTCGCTGGTGTTTGGATCTTCGGGCAGCTCGTTCTGTTCAGCATGCTGGGTAGCCGAATTGATGTGACTGTGTTTCAGCAGATTTTCAAAACTCTTCCTTTGATGGTGGTTGGGCAAGCGTTCCGCTTTGCAGGGGTTCAGCTGTCGACGGTGCTTGTGGTGAAGCTTGGATGGCGTACCTGCATGTTCGGCAATGATGCATGCAAGACGTCCTTTGAAGCATCTCGCTGGCCCGATGCGATGTTCTGCTTCTTGTCGACGATGCCCAGGGCTACAATCCAGGGAGCCCTTGGGCCCGTTCCGCTGGTGAAGCACTTCTTCCCGCTGCAGCCAGCCGCCCGTGGCAAGGAGGTGCGGCTCTTCATCGCAGCGGCAGCAAGGCTCTACGTGCTGGTCTTTGCAGTCGCCGGCTCTATTTTGCTAGACAAGTATGGCCCACGGTTCCTCGTAGAAGCTGAAGACATCAGCAAGACGAGCCGCTGCCTCAAATGTAGGGGCGAGGAGGTGACGAAGGCCCGAGTGTCCATGTTTGGCGGACTGCCGCCTGAAGTCTTATCCCAGTTGGAGGCCGCGGACGAAGGTCATGGTGAGCAGTCCTTTTCAGACGCCCCCCCCAATAGGGATTGTTCTGCGGATCATGGTTCGGAACCTTCTTCAGAGAGTTCGTAGGGTTTAGGGTTTAGGGTTTAGGGGTTTAGGGGTTTAGGGGTTTAGGGGTTTAGGGGTTTAGGGGTTTAGGGGTTTAGGGGTTTTTCAGAAGGTTCTTTCATCGGGGCCATCCAAGGATCAGGTCTTGCAGGAGGCCCCCCACGATGACGATGCCACGCTGGATGGGCCAAGGGGCGCTGGATGCGCGGGGGATGGGCCGCAGGGACAAGACAAGCAGGATGAGCAAGACGCCGAGGAGTTCGAAGAGGTTGTGGTCAAGGACACTCCTGCACACAACCCTGCTGTGAATCGCACGCTGCAACGTTTGTCTGACACCTCGCTCGACCAGGGGTCCTCTGACCAACCTTCCCCACAGCGGCAGCAGCGCAGAGCACGCACGGCAGCCATGGCCATGTTGCCGAAAGACCACGCGACAATCATGAATTGGGCCGATTCAGTGACAGAGGCGCGTCGGCGCACCGTTGCTGACTCCACTGCGAGCCAGCCCAGCTCTGACCAGCGGTGGTCCAATGCTGCGAGGTTTGCGCGTCCAGCTGCTGACAGCCGCGCATCGCAAAACTCTCTGCCTCGGCGTGGCGTTCTGTTCTCGCTGGAGCCGCCCCGGCCGAAGGAGGAGGAAGTCGAAGTGCACGACACCGGGGCAGGAGCTGATGTGCACCCTGGGTTCGGAGTACCATACTTTATTATTTGTTTGCTTGTTCCTTATACAGGAACCATTGTGAAATACAAGTCTACATTTTTTCTCCCTGGTTACTTCAAAGTCCAGGCACTCAGAGTTGCACCCGGCCTTGTTTGCCAGAGGTCCCGTGGGCAGAGTCTTGCCCGGCAGAGGCTCGTCAGACTACAGGCCCTTAGCACGCGACGAGGCAGTGAATCCATAAGGGGGCTTCCGAAATTAGGGGGGTGCCTTCTTGGGGTCCTGGCTATAGGGGAATCCTGCTATTTGGGGTATGTTCTTGGGCTCCCTCATTTTAGGAAACTCCCGTAAAATGCGTGCGTTCATGTCCGCACGTGGAGCAAGGGGAAGAGAGCTGAGGCGCACGAAAGCTACGGAATCGTGCATCATTTCTGCAGTTTTGCTTGCTGCAGCAGACAAAATCAGATGATCCACCCCCTGAGACGCAAGGTTGTCAACAAGGGCACATCGCATGGAGCCACGTCGCATGGACACCTTCATGGTACTTTTGGGTTGTTCGTTGTCGGTTCCAGTGAAGCCATCGGCCCGTGCCACAGTTTAGTGTTCAGCCGTGTGTCGACCGCCAAACCCTGAACCTTGACTCTGGGAAAAGGAACACTAAACCCTAAACCCAGAAGTCTGAACTCTAAACCCTGAACCCTGAACCTGAACCTTAGCCGAGTATGAAGGAGTGAACAAAGCCTAGCAACAAAAAAAACTTCCTTACATCTCTGAGCCCGAGCCCTGAAGGGAACTCCAAGCTGTCAAGGGACGTGGCAAAGGGTTTTGGGTTTTGGGTTTAGGTTTTAGGGTTAGGGTTTAGGGCTCTCAAGGCCTTCGGACCCTTCGGATGCGTTTTTGGGGTTTATGCAGTAGGGTTTGTACCGTTTGTAGGGTCTCGTGTTTAGGGTTTCAGGGTTTAGCTGCACAAAAGGGTTTATCCTAAACCCTAAACCCTAAACCCTAAACCCTAAACCCTAAACCCTAAACCCTAAACCCTAAACCCTAAACCCTAAACCCCTTGAATCTTAAACCCCTATAGACATGCCCAACGGGAACGCAGCAGCCACATGGTGCAGGGCGCAGAAGCGGCTGGGCGCACGCGGCAAAACCAAGGGCCAAGGGCCTTCCGGTCCATTTCCCTAAGGGTCCATGTACCCTAAACCCTGAACCCTAAACCCTAAACCCTAAACCCTAAACCCTAAACCCTAAACCCTAAACCCTAAAGCTACTGTATAGGAACCCCTTTAAGGCCCAAGTATCTACTATATGGGTACATGGACCCTCTGGGTTTGTGCTTGAAGGTGATCATGGTGTTTTTTGCTGGGTTCAACCCTAAACCCTGAACCTCAAACCCAAACCCTAAACCCTCCCTAAACCCTAAGTGGGGATCTTGTAGGGTGCGGCAGGGCTTCTTTCAGCGTGGATCTCCTGCTCCAGCCCAAATCTGTGCTTGCACAGCACGTCCTCGCACAGTACGTCCTGCTGCAGGGAGGTTCATTCGTATACCGTATCTACTTAAGGAGCCCGCAAGACATGAAGTTGTCCTAAATGGCAATGGCGACTGTAATTCTTGTGTTTTTGCTTAGCTGGTGCTAGGTAAGTCCTTACGCTTTGAGAGGGCAACAGTAGGCACCAAGCTGCCATGGCCTACATAGATGTCGGGCACCGCCAGTCCCCCCTGTGTTGACATGTGGGTCTGGGCTCTTGTGTGTTCACAGCAGTCGTTGAGAAGGTATTGTCCGCAACCAGCCTCCTCACGCGCAAGCGACCCTAAACCATGCTTTCTATCCACATCTTGTCGACGGCCTCCCTTCGCCTGTCTCTGGATCAAACGCGGGTGGGCGTTCGTGGACAGTGGGCACAATATCGCTGCCCCATGCCCTATCCCACGCTACTGTGAAGCACGCTGCTTGCTTGCAGCCGGACGTGATGCGGCTCACTTCTCGATTGTAGGGTTGCTTTAGATTAACTGTAAGTCAAGGCCCCTTTTAGGCCGGATGCCTTACAAGTAGACCTTTGCTCAAAACAGACGGCGAGCCATCAGAGTCCGCAGGACCCCAAATTCACGCCCCAGATGTTGTTGCTATCCTAATGGTACCGACGTTAGGGAGATATGGATCTTGAGTAACACGCCGCCCGCTTGACAGCTGAAGTTGTTCTGGGAAGTGCGAAGTGCCGTGGATGGTCCGAACATGAGAGCCGTCCCGAAACTTACGTGTTTACGGGTTAATTGGGGTTGTGATGGCATCTACTTACTGTCACGAAATGGGTTGCGTGACCGAAATAGAAGAACAAATAAAGCTCACTAACAAATCTACGCAAAACACGAAACAAAGCAGATACATAAACTCACAAAAGCACAGCCAAGCAACAACAAAAACTCAACCACCAACAGCTTTCATGGCCTCCCAGACACCCAAAACATCAAGAATATGTGATCAACACGAAACCAGCAAAGAATCAACAAATACATCACCATCTCAACATTTTAGCCTCGGGAAAAAACAGAAAGTCATCAGGCAAAAATCGGTCATCAGCCAAACAAGAATGGCCAACCGGTTTTGGGTTGTTTGACAGATGTTTTTTATGTTTTTTGATCGTTTTCTGAATCTCTTGGATTCGGCAGGACCTGAGTTGGTTGTTTTGGTTCATCTTCCGGCGATTGCATTCTGACCTGTTTTTTGAGTAGAACCCCCGAAAAAACATTCGTGTGGGTTAGAGGCCATCAAGAAAAATGGGTTGAGGATTCATCCCCATGCCCTAAAGCCCTAAGCCCTAAACCCTAAACCCTAAACCCTAAACCCTAAACCCTAAACCCTAAACCCTAAACCCTAAACCCTAAACCCTAAACCCCTGAGGCTGAAGCTGGGGAAGGCGTCATGCCGTCCCTGCGTCAGATTACTCTCCATGGCTCTCCCCTGGCGGAGGGCTGAGCCTCACTTGTCAGGGGTCGAGGCTTCTCAAAATTCTCCGGGAATGTTAAGGTTTAGGGAGGGTTTAGGGTTTAGGGTTTAGGGTTTAGGGTTTAGGGTTTAGGGTTTAGGGTTTAGGGTTTAGGGTTTAGGGTTTAGGGTTTAGGGTTTAGGGTTTAGTTCAGGTCTGTTCGGGAGCACATGCTTAAGTGTACTAGTGCAAGAGTTCAGGGCTGCGGAGTTAAAGCGTCGTTGGGGTTCAGGCGCAGGTCCCTAAGCCAACCCAGCCCCACCAAGAACCTCGGTCCGGGTCCACCTTTGTACCTCTGAAGATAGGGCCTCAAATGCTGAGACAGGGATTTCCTAAACCCTAATCCCTAAACCCTACACCCCTAACCCCTAACCCCCAAAACCTAAACCCTAAACCCTAAACCCTAACCCCTAAACCCTAAACCCTACACCCAAATTCAGAGTTTAGCTTGACAAAGCCACCCTCAACCCCTAAACCCGAGGTGGAGATGTCTTCGAAGATCGTGCCGGGATTCTTCAGCCAGCATCGGCCTCAGCTGCAAGTTGGATTCTGCTAAACCCTGAACCCTAAACCGTAAACCCTAAACCCTAAACCCCAAACCCTGAACCCCAAACCCTAAACCCTAAACCCTAAACCTCTTTAGGTGGCTGAGGGGGGCGCGGTGAGATTTTGGGGCGACTCCCTCTCCGCTCTCCTACTTCTGCCTCCCACGTCACGGAAGGTCTGAGGTGCACTCCTCGGTAAAGCTGTAGATAAGAGGTTCATTGACACGTGGGCCAAGGGTGTACGGGGTTTAGGGGCTTCACTTTTCTCCGAAAGTTTGCTCTGTGAGAGTTGTCGCCGTACGCTTGAGTCTCTGTAGGAATGCTGTCTTCATCCACATGGCTGCAACTTCTTTTAAGTTTATGGGTTCCCCTACTACCCCCCTCTATACTACCCAGCCTAGGTTCCCCCATGCTTATGGCATTCTTACGGCTATTTGGGGATAGTGTTGAGCCTAATTCAGATTCTCTAAGGGGGGAACCTACGGGGCCGGGGGGGGCGGGGGGGGGGGGTTGGGGGAGTTGGGTAGTAGCCCTAAACCCCAAACCCTATATAACCCTAAGCCCAGTATAGAGGGGGGTATGTAGTAGTGGAACCCATGATAGGTGTGCCCTGAGCGCCTCATGTGCCATCAGCTTTCCTGGTTGCAAATGACGCTTTGAGATGTTCCCCCCTTAGACTAACGGCTCCTTAATAGGGATTCTAGTAGGGGTGGAATCCCCATTCGGGGCTGTTAGTTTAAGGGTGAACATCCCAAATAATGCTGGTTCGGGGGCGTTGAATGGCTTGAGAGTTGCTTGAGGGTTGTGTGCTCGGACCTGGGGAGCTCTCAGTGGTGATTTCATGCTCCGTGCCCGCTGCATCTTGAAAAAGGCATATGTTTATGTAGGGTGACATGACATTCGTGCACCGACTCTGGCGCGCCTGAAGCTCTGCACATGGTGCTGGTGTACCCGATCCATCTTGGACTAGCTTACCTTCTCTTGGGGGGCTACCTCACCAGCCGCATCTTCTGGGCACTGCACTTGCCGGCCGCCGTCGGAATCATCGCGAGTGGCTTCGTGTTTTCCCATTTCATTCAGTTCGACATCCTCCAGGGCCGCGATCATCTGCAAGCATTGTCCTTCTTCCTTGTGCTCCTGACAGCTGGCTTTGAGCTACAAATAACTGACCTTCGCCCTGAGACGTTTGTTTTCGCGTTCCTCCCTGTGACGCTGGAGTTGATCGGAATCGCTGCCTGCGCACAGCTCATCCTGCACTTCTCGCTGGTGGAGGGCCTCGTCTTGGGTGCCACGCTAGCCTGCTTGGGAGATGGCCTGGTCATTCCCAAAATGATCGAGATCAAGAGCCGCGAGGAATTTGAAAACTCCCCGATGCCAAGATTGGTCTTCACGGCAGCACCTTTGGAGGCATCCTATGTCCTCACCATCTACGGGGTTCTGGAAGGGCTGGCTACGGCAGAGCATCAGGAAGCGAGTGGGATCTGGTCGATCGTTTTCGCTAATCTCTTGCGCATCGCTGCCACCTTGCTGTGTGGCTCGATGCTTGGCTACGGTGCTGGGGTCTTCATCAGCAAGGGCCGAGGTAATGAGTCTTGGTTTGCTGGCACCTGGCTCCAACCCATATGTGAAACATGGCTACCACACTTGGCACCCGTGAAGCTCTTTAGGCAGAGCGACGTGGAGGCATACCTGATGATCCTCAGCGTTGCCTTGCTTGGCTTCGGAATTGGCTCGATGAGCGTTGCATCTCTCGCCCCAATTCTTGGAAATCTCCTGCCATCAGCTTTTGCTGAGGGCGAGCTGTTTCAGCCAGAGCTTCTCGTTATTGTTATCGGCGCTTCATTTGCATACGCTTGCGAGACATATGCAAGCGAGACGGGTCAAGAGGCTGATGTGCTAAACAGTGTGCTGACCATCGTCGCCGGTGTTTGGATCTTCGGGCAGCTCGTTCTGTTCAGCATGCTGGGCAGCCGAATTGATGTGTCTGTATTTCTGCAGATCTTCAAAACTCTGCCCTTGATGGTGGTTGGGCAAGCTTTCCGCTTTGCAGGAGTTCAGCTGTCGACCGTGCTTGTGGTGAAGCTCGGATGGCGTACCTGCCTGTTCGGCAATGACGCGTGCAAGACGTCCTTCGAAGCATCTCGCTGGCCCGATGCGATGTTCTGCTTCTTGTCGACGATGCCCAGGGCTACAATCCAGGGAGCCCTTGGGCCCGTTCCGCTGGTGAAGCACTTCTTCCCGCTGCAGCCAGCTGCCCGTGGCAAGGAGGTGCGGCTCTTCATCGCAGCGGCAGCAAGGCTCTACGTGCTGGTCTTTGCAGTCGCCGGCTCTATCTTGCTGGACAAGTATGGCCCACGGTTCCTCCTAGAAGCTGAAGACATCAGCAAGACGAGCCGCTGCCTCAAATGTAGGGGCGAGGAGGTGACGAAGGCCCGAGTGTCCATGTTCGGTGGGCTGCCGCCTGAAGCTTAGGGATACTTGGGAATAACTTTCAATTTTTGGGTACTAAAAACTCCTAAGAAACAGCTAACATTTAGTAATGTTTTTGCTACGGTTCCAAGTTCAGCATAGGAAGTCCTGGCCCAGCTGGAGGTTGGCGAAGAAGGGCATCGTGGGCACATGGATGCTTGGCCGGCCCTTGTGGCTCTTTTTTGCGTCTTCCCCTGAATGGGTTTAGGGTTTAGGGTTTAGGGTTTAGGGTTTAGGGTTTTTGCGCTTCCCCTGAATGGGTTTAAGGGTTTAGGGTTTAGGGTTTTTGCGTCGGTTGCGAAATTAGGGGGCCCCCCAGCCCCAAGTGGTAGGATGCCCTTAGAATAAGGACCCCAACAAGGTGCCCCTGGTTTCGGACAAACCCCCCCCCCCCACCCCAAAAAAAAGGGATTGTTCAGAGGATCATGGTTCGAAATGTTTTTCAGAGAGTTCTTAGGGTTTGGGGTTTAGGGTTTAGGGTTTAGGGGCTTTTCAGAAGGTTCTTTCATCGGGGCCACCCAAGGATGAGGTCTTGCAGGAGCGGCCTGCTTCGACAGCAGATGCAGCCCAGAACGACGATGCCACGCTGGATGGGCCAGAGGGCTCTGGATGTACGGAGGATTCTAACGGCACCGGGGTTTAGGGTTTAGGGTTTAGGGTTTAGGCCTATATTGTGGGGGTTCAAGGGGGTATAGAGCCCCCAGTTCCTTAATACTCCCTACTACTCCCTCCTAGGCTCCCGAAGCTTCCCTAGGGTTCCCTAGGTACCCTAAACCCTAAACCCTAAACCCTAAACCCTAAACCCTAAACCCTAAACCCTAAACCCTAAACCCTAAACCCTAAACCCTAAACCCTAAACCCTAAACCCTAAACCCTAAACCCTAAACCCTACAGGATGAGCCGGAGGGCCAAGACAAGGAGGATGAGCAAGACGCCGAGGAGCTCGAGGAGGTTGTGGTCAAGGACACTCCTGCATACAACCCTAAACCCTAAACCCTAAACCCCAAACCTTAAACCCTAAACCCTAAACCCCAAACCCCAAACCCCAAACCCTAAACCCTAAACCCTAAACCCTATCGTGGTTAAGCCTGGTTAAGGACACTCCTGCATACAGCCCTGCCGCTAATCGCACGCTGCAAAGTTTCTTAGGGATATTAGGAAATCGTTTTTTTGTTTTGAAAAATACGTTTTGGGTACTTTAATTCCTCAGAAACAACTAAAACTGTAATGTTTGCTAGGGTTCAAGTGCAGTATAGGTTTGCCTGATACCTCGCTGGACGAGGCGTCCTCATCCGACCAGGCTTCCCCAAAGCGACAGCAGCGCAGAGCACGCACGGCAGCCATGGCCATGTTGCCGAAAGACCACGCGACAATCATGAATTGGGCCGACTCAGTGACAGAGGCGCGTCGGCGCACCGTTGCTGACTCCAATGCGAGCCAGCCCAGCTCTGACCAGCGTTGGTCCAATGTGAGGTTTGCGCGCCCAGCCGCTGACAGCCGCGCATCGCAGAACTCTCTGCCTCGACGTGGCGTTCTTTTCTCCCTGGAGCCGCCCCGGCCGAAGGAGGAGGAAGTCGAAGTGCACGACACCGGAGCAGGGGCTGATGTGCACTCAGAGTTGCATCCGGCCTTGCTCGGAGGTTCCGTGGGCAGAGTCTTGCCAGGCAGAGGCCCACCGGATTATGTGCCTTTAGCGAACGAGGCATCCGGACCGGTGCTGTAGAAGCGCCGCACTCCAACTAATCCCAAAGACCCATTGTGGGCTCTGCCCCCTCGTTCCTACATGCTGCTGTTGGGCACGTGTACGTGGGGATTCCTTTTGCGGTCAATGTCAGCGCGCTGCTTCAGAAGCCCAAAAGAGCGCATGCAGACCGCAAGGTTTGGCTTCTGGGTTTGGGTTTAGGGTTTCGGAATGTTTGGGTCAAAGACACTTAACTCTTTGACTAACTACCAGGATGATCTACATACCCCTGAAAAAAGGGCCTTTCTAGGGTTGACTCTGGGGATTTTATGGCTTGATAGGGATGGACTTAGAGATGCTCTTAGGTCTGCAAGGATCACCAATGTGTCATGTTCCAAGCCCCCTAAACCCTAAACCCTAAACCCGAAACCCGCACATGAGTACGGGCTTCCGGGGCAGTTTGGCAGCAGTCGCCTGCTCTGGCCTATTTCAACCCTACCTCAGAAGCCGCGCTCACGCCAACTGTAGTTCCCTGTAAACAAATAAATAAATAAATATATATATGTATACATGTATGTATGATATATATATATATATACATATGTATGATATATATATGCATATGTGTGCCAGTATTATATGGATGTGCTAGAAAAAGGAGCCACAGTTCATTAGGGATCAATTGAAAATCTGCCACTGCACAGACACTTGGAGGCTCATGGTACGTAGTAACCAATTACACGTGTACTTATTACCCACGTCTATCGGCCCCTGAAGTGCCCCGAATATGGTCATAATTTGGGTTATAGGTACAGTTGTAATGGGTTAAGAAGTACCGCGAACCTTCAAGCAGACGTCCGACGTCCGAGGTCCTTCTATCACGCCTCGATCATCCCCTTATCACTGCTGACGGCGTCTTGCCATCGAAATTTGCAAAGGGCTGTTGAGGTGTCAAGGTTTTGGAGCCGCTTAGAGGGTTTAGGGTTTAGGGTAGGGTTTAGGGTTTAGGGTTTAGGGTTTAGGGTTTAGGGTTTAGGGTTTAGGGTTTAGGGTTTAGGGTTTAGGGCCTGAAGTCCCTGCTGCTAAGAGTCGTTCCTCATTGGCGGGCATGAGAGAGAGAGCCCGAAAGCAAAAAGGGTTTTTGGGTCTAGGGTTGAGCGCTTAGGAGATGTTTTCAGGGGGTCTAATTTTTTTGAGGGCTTCTTTAAGACTTAAGACTTACGGACTCTTATACCAGGGTTCTCATGGGCAAAGGGTAAGAAGGTTGTTTAGGGTTTAGGGTTCAGGGTTGAAAATGCATTCTTTGGGCAACTATCCCCTGAACCCCGTCTGTACGTGCAGGGCCTTGTTCGCAGCTTGGCTTAGACACCCCGGCTTGACATGCAAGCCTAAACCCTAAGCCCTTGCTGGGAATTGGGGTTTAGGGTGTTGAGATGACCAGGGGAGGGGGATTTAGCCCTCAAGCTCAGCTTAGGGAGAGCCCCGCCCCCAAAAGGGGAGGGGGGGGGGGGGCGTGGGGTAGCAGGGGTCCCCCCAAGGCCCTAAAAACATGGCCAGGGTTCGCATGCGGTCCTGGTTGGATTTCTGGGGAAGCTGCGAGTTCGAAAAAGCCTGGAGCCTGCAGGAGAGTTTGGGGCTTAGGGCTTAGGGTTTGGGGTTAGGGGTTTAGGGTTTAGGGTTCCCCAAACCTAGCGCAACAGGAACCCTAAACCCCTAAACCCCTAAACCCCTAGACCCCTAGACCCCTAAACCCCTAAACCCCTAAACCCCTAAACCCCTAAACCCCCTAGAACGCATCGGACCCGACACGATTTGATGTGGAGGCCATCGGGGCCTGGAATGCCCTGCCTTCCAAAAGCAGCGAGTGGCCAAATGGCTTCGCGAAGTTCATGGCCCCTTGGTCCCTAAACTTGCTGGGTTGCGGTAAGTTTGGGGTTGAGGGTTTAGGGTTTAGGGTTTAGGGTTTAGGGTTTAGGGTTTAGGGTACCCTCCAAAAAGTTGGCGCAGCCTTGTCCCTGTACCCCAAAAAGGTCTACTAGAGGGAATCCCAGCTCCAACCATCCTTAACCATGTTCCAACCTTCTGGAGTTTACTGTACTGTCTTCCGATTTCATAGTTCATAGGTAGCACTTTGCCCTTGTTCTAGGAATTGGTGTTAATTCCAGTGAAATTGACATCAATGCCTAGAACAAGGGCCAAGTGCTACTTATGTTTCACAAGAACCCTACCCTAAACCCTATAAACCCTAAGCTGAAACCTGAGACCAAGCGCCCAGCTCGAGTCTCGACTCGGGCGCATTTTTTTGAGGTTCGGGCTGTGTGCCGCTTCTAATTATGCTTCAAGCTAGTTGTAGCGACTCAGCAACTTGTCATAGCACTGCCCAGCCCAAATTGTAAACATATTAGGGCGCTTAAGGGGCCTATAAGTGGGTCATAAGTACAGTTATCATTGGTTACTAAGTACCATGAACCTCCAAGTAGAGTCTAGGGGTCTGGGATCAGGGTTCCTAGCGTGACATTGAGCAGCCCAGAATCAAACCCTAAAGCCTAGGAGTTTAGCCTCGAACTCCCTAAATTACTAGACGTGAGGGCCTGGGCTGTTCGGCCTTATTGGGGTCCTTATCTTAAAGGGAATCCTACTATTTGGGGGGTCTTTTTTCGAGGCCCCCCCTCACAGCCCGAAGACCCACGCCCTCTTTAATTTCGAAGAGGGGGGCCCTTGAAGTCGGAGGTAGGCCAAGCCGCAAGCCTGTTATTCCAAGATCGATTCGGTTTAGGGTTTAGGGTTTAGGGTTTAGGGTTTAGGGTTTAGGGTTTAGGGTTTAGGGTTTACGGTTTACGGTTTAGGGTTTAGGGCTTCTTAGAGCTTGGGGCTTAGGGCATAGCGCTTAGGGCTTAGGGTTTAGGGGCCTCGGGGTTGTCGGTGCTCGGGGCTCCAAAAGCCCCCCCAAAGTTCCGCGCCCAAGAACCCCTGCGGCCGACGAGGCCACCTACCTCAGTGCCTGGACCTTGTGTGTGGCTGCAGATTCTTGGCTTTCTTCTGGCTGGATCTTAGGACTTTACCCTTTGGGTTTAGGGTTTCGGGTTTAGGGTTTAGGTTTTGTAGAAACTACAATAAGGAGCCTAAAAGTTAAACTTTTAGGAGGGGTTCAGAAGTCGGCCCAGGATTGGTTGCAAGGGCCATACGTCTACGCCCTCTACGAGGCGGCAGCGATTTGGGTGGGAGGAGGGGGGGGGTGTCAGGACTTTGCACATTTTTTTGGGAACAAGTTTTCTTTTGGGTACGAGAATTCCTAAGAAACAGCTGAAATTTTAATTTTTTGCTAGGGGTCCAAGCTCAGTATAGATGAGGGTGTGGAAAACGCAAGGGCGTCGGGAGAGTGTGGGGTTTATGGTTTGGGGCACGACTGAACGAACCCCCCCTGCTCTAGAAGAAGGCCCCGACGCCAACCAACCTTACACGAGCTCTCTCAGGTTGAGGGTTTAGGGTTTAGAGTTTAGGGTACAGGGTTTAGCTCTCTCAGTTCGAGCAGAAGGAGGGGAGCTGGATTTCTGACTGGCGGGAGAGAGTTTCCTGGAACGTGCAGTGTGGGATCCTGGCGTTCGCATCCTCCAACCTAGCAGAAAAAGCCTAAATCCCCAACTCTATATACCCTAGACCCTAAAACCCTGGGTGGGAGAAGAAACGGCCCACTTGAGTTTCGTTTCCAATGTGCCGCGGCTGGCAATTCTTGAAACACCAACTCCTGCCAGGACCTGCGGTTCATGGGTCTATAGGACGTGTAGGGATTGGACCGAATCCCCCACAAGAAACCTTAATGTCCTCATCCTCTTAACCCCTCCCCAAGCCCAAAACCCTAGACCCCTAAACCCTAAACCCTAAACCCCAAACCCTAAACCCTAAACCCTAAACCCCAAACCCGAAACCCTAAACCCTAAACCCTAAACCCCAAACCCTAAACCCTAAACCCCAAGCCCTACAACCCTGTCTCCTGCAGGCCTACGGCTTCAGTCCCCACGAGATCGCCCAGCTCTTCGTTGCAGGCTTTGCCTCGGCCCTGATCTGCAGTTGCCCGGGGCCCCGGGCTATGGATTACGGGGTTTAGGGTTTAGGGTTTAGGGTTTTAGGGCTTTGGAGTTTTAGGGTTTAGGGGTTCCTTGCTTGCATGTTTGTCGCCTTTGTCTGCTTACCGCTTGCATGCTTCAGGTTTAGGTACTCTACTGGGCTTTGGGGTACTATACTTTGCATACTTTTTTTGGTTCTGGGTTCCCACTATAGCTACTTATACCTAAAAAGTATATACTTAGGGTTTAAGACTTAGGGTTTAGGGTTTAGGGTTTCCAGGGTCTACTCCAAAGCAAAGTATCGGGGGTAGGATTTGGGGCTTCAGGTCTGAGAGCTTTCGGGTTGGAGTCAGGACATTGCATTGAGGTTTGCGGAATGCCGGAGCAATACCAAGCCGCTAAGCCTGACACCCTACCCTAAACCCTAAACCCTAAACCCTAAACCCTAAACCCTAAACCCTAAACCCTAAACCCTAAACCCTAAACCCACCTCGAATAGAACCTGTGGAGTGGTCGAGAGCGGTCAGCTAGGCGGGTGGCAAAAAAAACCACCGTTCCAGGTGGCCAAAAAAGCCTTTCAACCCCTGAGCCCCTCAAGCCGCCCTAAACCCTGAATTGGGTTTAGGGTTTAGGGTTTAGGGTTTAGGGTTTAGGGTTTAGGGTGTAGGGGGGCCCAAAGCCCTTCAAGCCCTAAGCCCCAAGCCCTTGCCCTAAACCCCGAGCGATTTCACTGATTTAACCCTACCCTAAGAACCCGAAACCTACTTGCTGGTCGAATCTTATTCGCAAATCCCTTGTAGGATTCTTAGGTTACCTACAAAAATGTAGGTTTTGGGGTTCTTAAGGTAAACCCTGAACCCCAACCCTGTACATTCAGGTGTCGTGGGTGGCCTGGCCGGCCGTTTTTAAACTCTGAACCCTGAGCCCTGAACCCTAAACCCTAAACCCTAGACCCTAGACCCTAGACCCTAGACCCTAGACCCTAGACCCTAGACCCTAAACCCTAAACCCTAAACCCTAAACCCCAACCCCTTACATCCAGGCTTTGTGGGTGGCCTGGCCGACCGCTTTGGTCGGAAGAAGGGCTGCATCGCATACTGCTGGGAACTCGGGGTTTAGGGTTTAGGGTTTAGGGTGTAGGATTGAGTTTAGGGTTTAGGGTTTAGGGTTTAGAGTTTAGAGTTTAGGGTTTAGGGTTTCCTGAGTGTCGGGTGCCCATGACCTTCGGTTCGATGTGGCTCGGTCGTTGTCAATCTTGCGTTAGGTGTCTTCGGAGCCCCAAGCCCTAAGCCCCAAAACCCTGAGTGGGGTTCAGGACCTTAGAGGATCAAGCCGGCTTCCTTCTCGACGTGAATTTTGTATGAGTTGGCTTTAGATCGACTCTAGGCCGCTGCTCCAGCCTAGATGCCCGGAAGCTTAGCACCTCTGAGACCCTCAAACCCTACACCCTAAGCCCTAAACCCCTAAACCCTAAACCCTAAACCCTAAACCCTAAACCCTAAACCCTAAAACCTAAACCCTAAACCCTAAACCGTGGCTCTGCGAGCACGCGACGATCAAGAGCCGTCAAGACGCGGCCTTCTACAGCCTCTCAACCTAGGCAGCCTCCCAGTGAAAACTACATAAAGAAGACACGTGTCAGCTTCCTCCGCGCTCCCGGCGTGAAATCCTAAATCCTAAGTTCTAATCCTACAAGCCTCCCGGAAGCTTTCGTGCCTTTGATGGGCCTCCCACGGGCCCTTCAGCCCTCCCAGACCCCGCAACATTTCCACGACGTGGTTTTGGTCAGAGGGGGGGGGGGGGGGAACGTATTTTCAAGTTTCCAAGCGGAAGTTCTGCTATTCTGGCGGGCAGGTAGTTTCACGCAAAACCTGGACCCTGTCTCTGCTCCGAGAGTAGTCTCGCGCAGAATCTGATCAATAAGCTGGTGCTGTTATCCTGGCGGCAGCCATTCTTTAAGAAGCCTGCGAAGGGCTTCTAAAAAAAAATTGCTCTTGAGCAACTGCACGCAAGTTCAGTTGCATCTTTCGGGTACAATTGAACGTCCGCGCGACGTAGAGGCAATCCGAGCCTCTGGTGCGTGGGTCGCTTTTGCTTGTGATTGTAAGGGGGTGTATTTGTATGATAGAGATTGGGGGGTTTAGGGTTTAGGGTTTAGGTTTAGGGTTTAGGGTTTAGGGTTTAGGGTTTAGGGTTTAGGGTTTAGGAAGAAAAGGAAAAGTTAAAATTGAATACACAATGCCGGAGTGTCACTAGGAGCCTCACTGGGCTTTGAGGGAAGGACGTCTGACTGTGTGCGCCTCCACAAGCTTGTCCGAGTGTGAGCGATTAAACCGAAACCGAAACCTAAAGCCGACCCTAAACCCTAAACCCTAAACCCTAAACTCTAAACCCTAAACCCTAAACCCTAAACCCTAAAAGGAACAGTAGGGGTTTTTAGGATTTGGGGTTAAGGCCTGCTGTACATCCTGTCCTGTGCGACCAAGCACTGGCCCGGCGCTGATGTTGGACGAGCTTTGGGGACCTGGGATTGTGGGTTTACTTCAAAGTACCAATTATCACTGTACTTGTAGCTGTACTTATAGCCATATTAGGGCACTTCAGGGGCTTATAAGTGGGTTATAAGTACAGCTATATTCGGCTAAACGGTCCATGAACCTCCAAGTACGGGCGTGTTCCTGAGTGCTTGACCCTCGAGTACTATGGTTAGGCAGTGAATCCGAAACCTGGATCCTCACGTCCAATTCGCACGCATAGCAAAATAAAAGGGTCATGCTAAATTTATGTTTGCTCGATGGAGCACATCCCTTGCAAGCTCGTTTACGGCTTGCCCGCACCGCCCAAGCATCCATGAGTAAGGGGCTATAGGGTACCTTAGTGACATAACGAGGTACTTAGGGCATGTATAAGTTTTGGGTGGACGGTTTAGGCCCTCAGGCTTTGGCTTTCTGGCTTGGAAGGTGAGTTGGGTCTGAACTCTGACTCTTTGGCAGACCTACTTGTAACCCCCTCGCAAGCACCCAAGACATCTTCCGCCGAACCCAACCCAAGAAGCCAGCCCAATGCAAAGCCTGTAGCCGCTGTCACGGATGCCTGTGCAGAGGGTTTCGAGGTGGCTGATGGATCCTTGTGAGGATTTCAATCGTAATGTTTCTCCGCACCAAAAGAACACATATGCGTTGCGGACAACCAAAAACTGTCATCGTGGAGTTCGCCCCTACATCCCTGAGCCTTACCCCAAACTCGTACACTCCAAATCCTCGGTGCCGAGGTGTAGGGATCAGTAGTGGTCCGCAACTCATGCAGAACCGACCGGTTATGGACAGTTACCCTAACCCCAAATCCCTAAAAGAGTTTTGGGTTTCCTTTGCCTTGTACTCAAGGAAGAACTACTGGATCCTGATGGTGGGAAGAGTGACAGGAGGCGCTGTTGGGGCTTTGGGGTTTGGGGTTTAGGGTTTAGAGACAGACCGCTGGGGTACCTCATCTTGTGATTCCCTACGAAGAACCGGTAGGATCAGTGTAGAGATGACCGAGACATCAGAAGCTACGGAGTCAGCAAAGGCGGCTGGGGGTTTGCCTTATTGTGATCCTTATTCTAAGGGGATCCTCTTTTTGGGGTTGAAATTAGGCCGTGGGCAGTGACTCGCAGGCGGCAATCCAGAAGCATGTAGCTCCTTCTATAGAACTTATAGAGGGGAAAGAGTGCATCATCAACCCTGTCGCCTGTCAGGCTTTGCAACCTCCCTGCTGTTCTCCTGCTTTGAGTGCCAGGAGCTCAGGTGTCCATTGCGCACAATGATTGCTCAAAAGTCGTGGCGTAGGTGCTGGAAAAGAGGACAAATCACCACTGCGTCCTGCTTTGGATGTTTGGTGTCTGGCTCGTGGCACTGCCGTGGCTGGCCGCGTGCACTTCTGTGCATCAAATCTCACATCGTCCCAGTATTCATTGCCTGCATTGCGTTTAGCGTTTAGTGACCGAAGGTCTGTAGAGAGCATGCCAGCACAGCTGAAAAGGTTGGATGGTTTCCGAGCACACGTGCCGCAACAAGTTCTCGTCCACGCTGTTGAGCTACATGTGCGGGCCCTCAGACTGGCGCCAAACCCCTCCTAGCCTCACTTTTCCAACCAACAGGTGTGCAGGTGCAGATTCTGGATAAGACACCCTCAATATATGGAGGGTATAGGGTTTAGGGTTTAGGGCTTAAGGGGGTATAAGGGGAGTATAAGGGGGGTATGTTACACTCACCAAGGTGCTCTTAGGCCCCCATCCCCAGGCCCTAAGAGCCACGTGACTTGTGAGGTTCAGGTACGGGTAGGTCTTTGGCTTGTTTCTGGCTGGTTCTTAGTAGGGTGAGGGAATGAGGGCCCTACATATACCCTTTAAGGGATTATATAGGGCTAGTAGGGTGAGGGAATGAGGGCCCTATATATACCCTTTAAGGGATTATATGGGGACCTCATTCCTTCATGCTCGACTAAGAACCAGAGGGGAGTTTTGGTCACTTTGGACCTCGACTAAAGACCTGCATGCTATTTATTCCCCAAGACTATATACTATTTGCTGAACAACCCCCCCCCCCCCCCCTCAAAAAAAAAGATTGAGATTCTCATCCCTGTATTACCCTTATATTAGAAGGAAGAGTCTTTTCACTTTTTGGTGGGTTCTTAAGCCAGTCGAAGAAGATGTTCAGGGGGTGGGTCTCTCTCTTGGTAGCCCGGTGGTACCCTTTTGCACTTTCTTTTTTGTGTCTAGGTTCCCTTACACACGAGACAACGCCAAAAAAGGGTACCCTTACAACAATAAAATGGTTACTGGACTACCACGCTCTTTGGAGTTCAGGGGCTGAGAAGGAGGGTTTACGAGTCTAGGGGTTTAGGGCTTGTGGCCCTAAACCCAAACCCCACCCTACCTACATCCTACACCCCCTAAAAAGGGGCCCTAAACCCTAAGCCCTAAACCCTAAACCCTAAACCCTAAACCACCGCCTAAACCCTACACCCTAAACCCCCCCAAAAAGGGGGGGGGATTTACAGGGGT